CCCGGCCCGTGAGCCACGGGGACCCTGGCAGGTGGCTCTTGCTCTTAGCATCCCCAGGATGCCGTCAGGCGGGGGTCGCGTCAGGCGGGGTGTCCGCCCCACCGGGAAAGGCCAGTTCTGAGGCGGTCTGGCCCAGGCCGCTCTCCTCCCAGTGCAAAGCGAAGTTCTCCAAACCCCAGGGCCCTCTCTCTGCCCCAGGGGGCAGGTCTGGAGGTGGCTGACAGCCCGTGCACTTTGCAGGCCTCAGAAGAGCGTGTGGCACGGCTCGGACCCCAATGGGCGCAGGCTGACCGAGAGCTACTGTGAGACATGGCGCACAGAGGCCTCCTCGGCCGCGGGCCAGGCCTCCTCCCTGCTGGCAGGCAGGCTGCTGGAGCAGAAGGCCGCCGGCTGCCACAACCCCTACGTCGTCCTCTGCATCGAGAACAGCTTCATGACCTCTGCCTCCAAGTAGGGCCTCTCCCGGCCGAGACGCTGGGCAGGCAGTGGTCGACAGGGCAGGACAGGGCAGGGACATCTGGCCAGCCCCGAGGACACGACCGGGTCCTCTGCTATATAGTTCACATTTCATGTAATCCTCAAGAAATAAAAAAAAAAGCCAAAGAATATATTTTTTAGAAAGTTTAAAGCAGAGAGTCTGATGCCAAGACTTCCTGTCCTCCCCCCGTGGCACGTGGCCCTCCACTCTATACCTCGGCTGAAGTCAGCAAGAGGCCAACTCAGGACAACTCAGCCAGCAGGCTGCCCGGGCCCTCGGGGCTAGGAAGGGGCAGACTGCTCTGCCTGGTGCCTTTCTATATACAAACTCAGGTCGGTGCTGAGGGTGGACAGGCCGGTCAGAGGCAGTGGGGCTTCTCTGGCCACGTAGCAGCACAGGCCTTTCTCACCCAGGGCCCTCAGCCGTGTCCCCTCCATACCCACCCCGTCCAGCCAGCCCAGCCGGGGCTGGCCCAGAGCCGGTGTGACCTGTGAAACCCACCTTCAGGCTTTTGAGACTGTCTTCCCAGGGACCCACAAGGTCAGGTCAGAGCAGGGCCTGCCCCAAGCCGAGCTGGAGCAGGGCACAGGTCAGGCTGCGGCAGCCTTCCGTCCCCGAGCCCAGGCCCAGGGCTCCTTTCTGCAGTGAAGTCCAGACTTGGCATCTTCATAGAGGTCTGGAGGACCGTGCGTGGGGCCACCCAGGCTGCCCGCAGTCTAGGCACGGCGGTGAAACCAGCGGTGCTGGTCCTACAACTGTGATGTGAGGCCACTTCCAATAAAAATGGACCGTTTACACAGACACCTGGTTTGTAAACCACCCTCCCCGTCAGGAGGGGCAGAGTTCTTCAGAACGGGTCCGTGGTGGTGGCTGTCTCTGCACTTCTCACTGGCAGGCTGTGAGGCACACACGTGTGCCAGGCACGGGTGTAAAGTGTGCATGCGGGTGTGGAAGCACAGATGCAAAAGTGCACACAGGTGTGGAAGTGTGCGTGGGTGTGAACACGCACACGCAGGTGCAGAAGTGCATGCCCGGTGTGACTGCTGCAGGAGCCACCCGACGGCTCACCCCCCAGCTGCGCTGTCCTGGCTGGCGCGGGCCTTGGGGCTGGCGCTGCCACACCACAAGGCCGGCTAGCTTGCTCCCGGGGAGCACCACGTCCCCAGTCCCTGCCCTGGCGGCCAGCACAGCGCAGGAGCAGGGAGGCGTCAGTCCTCAGCCCAGACTGAGGTGAGGAGGGAGACTGGGAGAGGGGCCGGGCAGCCCTGCTGCGCCGCGGCCGCAGTGGGTCAGGCAGGGGACCGTCCCTCCACTGCCAGGCCCAGCAGGGCTGCAGGACCGCTGCGTGGCTCATGTGGCTCCACGCAGGGCCGCTGCCCGTCTGACTCATCCGTGTGCAGCCTCTCCCATCTAGGGTCCTTCCCCTTGATCTTGGGGAGCGGAGGCCCAGCTGGCTCCCGAGTCCTCCGCCTGACTGGAAAGTCTACTTCCTGTCTCGTGCTGGCTTGTCCTTGGGCCAGCCAGCGGAGCTGCTACTCCAGGGCAGGAGCATGGACTGGGCGGGGCCCCCAAGGGCACTGAGTCCTGGGTTCTTGGTTCCTGACCCTGGTCCTGGCTCACCGACCATGGCCCTCGGCTGGACTTCGTGGTGCTTTGCTCACCATTTACGGAGACAGCACTCAAGTTACAAATGACTCAGGCTAGGAACCACACTTCCAAAGTACTACCCAGGAAGCAGCCCTCAGCTCCCACTCCAGAGACCTCAGCTCCCACCCCAGAGACCTCAGCTCCC